TTTCTTTTACAATCTACATACAAGTTTGTTCACATCATATACAAGACACCTTTCTACATAGTACTTGGGACTCTGTAAGAAGAGAGATAGCAGCACAGAAAAAAAAGAGATATGATCCTACACACATTACATCAAGTGTTTGCTGCTGTCGGAGAGAGTTGCTTAAAACAAAAGCCTTGTAGAGAATCCCCAGGAGGCTCTCCAGCTAGTTATAAAACAGAAACACAGTTCCACATTTCAGCAGCAACGTCTCTACTCCAGCATCTCCCTTGCCATACCCTGTGATCCTTAAAAAGTTTAAATTAATGACAACCCTGGAGTAGCTCATTAATAATTGCTTCATTATGCAATTGCACACTCTTGACAATAACGGTGTTTGGTGGTGTATTTCTAATTATGTGGCATTTTCAGCTCGCTAATAAGGCCTGGATAATTCCGTGATGAAAAAGGGTTTGCTCCCCCGAGTGTCAATTTTCGAACTCGGCTCATAATACAACACTGCTGCCATCCCCCCGCTCAAGGAAATTTGAATCCCACTTGGATGATGTGACCTGCTAATATTATTTATTCTAAAAGGTTTGGAATTCCTAACTGCATTGGTAATGTAGTCATTCATTTTTTTTTTTTTTTTTGCAAGGAGACAAATGAAAGCACACTACATATTAGACCCGTATTTTAGCTGATGCTGGTCCAGGCAGTGAAGAAAATACATTAAAAGTTAGTAAATGGACACCCACCCAGCATTTTCTCCCTAAACAAAGTTCCCCTCTAAAGGAGAACTTGTGAAAACTCGGTCAAGAGTATGCAATGTGAAAAGCTTTAAAAAATGTTTCCTAATTGGTCAATAATATCCCTGTAAAAACAATAGCTAAAGGACAACTAACGGTTGAGTAAACCAGTATGTCACAATGTCTGTGAAGCACCCTAGATAGGCTACGTAAATTTTAGTTCTTTTTGGTTTTCTTCCGTGGCACAGTTTGTGATTGCTTTGGGCTGTTGTAGGCTGCACTGGTTGCAGATTCAACTGCTTTCCCCTGCCTTCTAGAGGATTCTAGAATGTACTGGGCTGGAAGAGGCAGACCCACAGCCTGAATATTTATGTGGTCACTGGCAGAGGATGCCCAGTAGGTGACTGAGGAGTACATAAACATTCTGTAGCCTGAGGCAGCCCTGTTCTTGTCCAGGAGAAGTTCTCAGCCTGAAGGGCTATTGCCCTTCTGGGTAGTCCAGATGTACTTCTACATGTGCTCATCAAGGTGCCAATTTATTAAAGGCCTTCAATCTGCCTACAATGTCCGTGCAGACCAGTGTGGAGGATTCTAGTGACTGTGTGCTGCTACTATCCCTTGTGCATTTCCTATGGTGTCTCAGTGTTGCTCAGTCCCTCACTCAGCTGCTGCTAGAGGGACTGTACTACGAAGCTTCGACAAAGTGAAGAGTGTCCTTGTGTAGCACATTGCGCTAGTGGAGTATCCCACAACTTCCTTGAACCCTATCCAAATTCAACTTTAAAGCATTAAAAAGATACCCCTAGACTGTTTCATTGAACCAGAAGAGTGACTGTTACTGTGTTCCTGGCTGCTGCTGCAGTACTTTGGGAAAGGAATCTGGGGCAAAACTGCTAGCCTTTTCGGGGGTTAGCACTATATCTATGAAAATTCTTCTTTATCCAGGTCATGGTATATATATTGTAGTAGTAGTAGGTATGCCTTCAACTGGACTTGTTCTGTAATGGTAAAAATGTTTAGTAGCTTACCAAGACACTATTTCAGTTCCAGTGCATAACAGAAAGACACTCCAGCATTTATAGCCATTCTTGGACAATTTACAGATTCCCTTTCTTTCTTTAAGATGTGGATATAAATAAGGGGGTAACTTCTTGACACTCAGAACTGAAGAAGTGGCTTGGAAGGATAAGCTTTACAGACTTAAAAACTACTAGTCAATACATTATGAATTGTCACCTCCTACAAGACAGCAGTACCTACATGCTCAAATGTTTTACATTGCAGCTGATTAGTCATGTAGTTGTGTTTAGTTTTCTTTTTTCCTTTTTCAGGTTTCTTCCCTTTTATTTTACCTGGTGATGCTGCCAGTAACTTCCCATCCAAGGGTGACAACACTTACTACTATATATATAGATAGATAGATAGCTGTGTGAAATTTAATTTCAGTACAAAGAAGTATGTTTGACAAGATCAACATGCATTTTTCTCTACTTGTACTGTCTGCAATACTCAGTATTACATTTGTGTTGTTGGGTTTTGATATCCTGCACTCTAAGTTTTTTTTAATTTCATTAGCTTTTGACAGCTAGAAAAAAGGTTTCCATATATTTAATATTTGGTAGGGTGTAACTGCTCAATGGACTTTCAAACAGTCAATGGCAGAACTCACCAAAAGGCCCTGTTAGTCCCCTTTCACATGGGGCAGACCCGCTTTGCTCAGCGGGGAATCGGTAGACAGATGAGCAAGAATTAGTGGATCACTGGTCCATGTCTACTCCGCTTAAGAAGAGCAGACACGGCCCACTCTGCTCTATGGACAGTCAGATGTAAACGGACCAGCTGTCTGTTTACACCCAACTGCCCTCTGTTTTGATCCATTCAGACAGAGAGGAACGAATCCCCTTCTGTTTTTGTTTTTATTGGATGTGTGCAGTTGTAAACCGAACACAAGTTTGCTTACATCTACTGCTGCATAGAAGAGAATTGAAGTACGATTGAGTCCGCCTGAGAAGAAAATGGACAGGTGGACTGCTCATGTGAAAGGGGCTTTATTTCCTGCAACAGACTCAAACATTAATGGGTCTTCTAAACCGTTGCCAAGGACTGATTTCTTGATTCTCAAAATGTCACAGGCCCCCATGTTCCACACACATACGTTGTGGTGACAGACAGCACACAATGCATACCTTTCATTATTTCTATTATTCTTTATTACAGGAAAGTGTCCTAACTTTTTCATGAATGTTGGGAGGAGAGCTTAAAAATCCAAACACAAAAAAGACCTAGGGAGATTGTTTAAATATTTGACTTTTGTCCTGGGTTCCTTCCTGTTTCTTTAGCATTATTATTATATTTAGAAGAGTAGATTTTAAAATGGCTACAAATTCCAAATGGATGAACCTGCTACTGTCTGTTTCATGTTCCTTCTCTTCTGCTTTGCATTATGAGGCTTGAAACACCAGCTTTGCAGCAAATGTTCCTGGAAAATATTTTGAACGGAAATGTCACTGACCCCTGATTTATTAACTTGGTATGGGGTGGAGCATGGGGTTATATAATGTCCATTATTTCTTTTGATAATGGACATGGAGGTTAGTTCTGGCCCTCACACTGATTATGGCCATGATGGGCCAGATAACACCGTGGTAATCAACAATAAATTCCTTTTAAGGCTCATGACAGAGAAATACTTTTCACTATCTTAAAACCCATCAAGACCTGATAGCGATTGACTCCTCTCTACCCAAAATGTTGCTTTTTTAATATGCTAGCAAATATAGGGCAAAATGACATAGGCAATGGATAATGACGTTTTGTAATTATATAGAGCTTTTGCATATACAGACTACTTCTTACCTTTTTTGTATCTTTACTGGTAAAATAAAACCTAATTTGTTTGGAGCACATTGTTATTCTAACTGGATGGGTAAAAGGATGGATGTCATACCATAATTGTGCTTTTTGTATAAATGTGCTGAAGTCAGTTACACAAAGAGCTGAGGTTAATGTTAACTTTACAATAAGGAACCACAATTTTTCACAATCCCCCTTTCCCTTCTCTTATTACGATTTTGATAGTCAAACTAATTAAAATATTGAAGCTGTTGGGGAGGGCACGTAATGTGCTAATCAGGACTGAGCAATTCTACCTATTGTGCTAGAAAATGGAGTTTCTCTAAGAATATCCGCTAGTTTATAGCCTTATGAACTTAAAGCTCTATTAAGATCATTAATAAAAGTGCTTTCTGTAGTGGGTTTAATTAAAATCCCTAACGTTGTAGTAATTTATTAAAGGCCTGCAAACCGCCTACAATACCTTTTTGCAAAAGAGATACAATTACACTTCTCTTCAGCACAATATGATTATTTAATATAATTTTAATCAAGGCTATTTCATGGAATCTGCCAAGCAAGATAATGTGACTAAACACATGAAGATGCCACATTGACTTTGAATGATAATATCAAAGTTGTCAAAAGTCTGGCCTTACATAGCACGTTTGTTAGTTGATAACAATGGAGATGGGATGTCTGCATGCTGTTTGCGGGAAATGCCTCATGATTGAACACCCCATGGCCTTTCTTCAAATTCCCCCAATGCTTTGCTCTGTTGTATGAATAGACCAGAGGTTGTTTGCTCTTCTCCATGAAGAAAAGAGGACCATCTTTTATCAGCTGAAGAGATCACATGTTTGTTATAGTTCACAATACTATTTGACCATAACAGGTTAAAGATTCAATCCACTGAAATGTAATATTTAGTTATAGGTAGCGTCCTCAAGATCTCCTTGCCATAACGTATAAATTGTATTCCTGTCCACCTTGCAATTCTGTATGTTTCTTATTTAAAACCCTTCTGATTAATTTTCATAGAATAATATAAGCAGTGATTTGCATGGCTCCACCTAATGTCTTGAATGAAGAATAATCCTCTTATTTTTGGGATATGTGATGAAACGGGATATGTGAATACCTTCTGTTTTGAGAAGACTTTACTGTGCCACACACTGCTTCAGTTGGTGGTCTTTTTAATTGCTTTAGTCCCTTCTCAAAATTAATTGTGTGGTTATACTGTTTCATAGCATAAATAACGTATCCAACAGGATGACTAGAAGATCCTCCTAGTGGCCACAGCGGGTGTACAAACCTTGAAACACACTTTCCCGGAACATAGTGGAGAGCTGATAACCCTTGTCATGCCTGAACCAGCCAAGCTGGCCCCAGCGCCCAAGCAGGGCTCCAAGAAAGTCGTGACCGAGAGCCAGAAGAAGGATGGCAAGAAGCAGAAGAAGAGCAGGTAGGAGAGCTATACCATCTACGTGTACAAGGTGCTCAAGTAAATCCACCCTGACACCGACACCTCGTCCAAGGCCATTACCATCATTAACACCTTCATCTATGACATCTTTGATCACATCTACAACAAAGCTTCCTGCCTGCATCATTAAAGCAAGCGCTCCACCATCACTTCCTGAGAGATCCATACCGTCGTTCTCCTCCTCCTGCCCAAAGAGCTGGCCAAGCACGCCATCTCCAAGGACATCATGGCTGTCGCCAGGTCTATGTTTACAGAACATAGGCACAGGAAATGATGCAATCTTCTCTCCTGGTTCCAGAGAGAGAAGAGAGCAGATCCACATGAGTCAAAGCAGTACACTGACACAGTAAAATCCCAGGCCCCACCAGTTAACCCTTTCACTGCCCTGTTACCACTGTCATTAGTACATTGTACAGATTTTTTTTACTGATCATTGTATTAGTGTCATGGGTGACTTCAGATAGCGTTAGCGCCAGTTAGCAGCCATCCCAGACAGCGTCAGATCACCCTCCATCACTTATTACATTTAACCCTTTATTTGCCAGGAACACTCTCACAGACACACACTATACAGTATAGTATACTAGTATAGTGTCTGAATGTATCCGTGCCTTTTGATCAGAACTATACTAGCATCCTCAATAGTATAGTGTCCCCAAAAACACATCAGTAGCAGGATGAGCCCCGACACCTGCTAGCCCCTCTGCCTCCCACAAGTGCAGTGTCAGTAGATCACCGTTACTTTTAATACATTGCACACAAAAATGCAGTGTTGGCAAGGTCAGGCTTGATCTCTGCTAGCACTAGCAGGTAAAGTTTGTTTTTGTTTTTTTTTTGTAGCGGTTCAAGCAGTCCCTAACAGCCCTCGCACTAGATACCTGTAAATTTAGTGGCCAAAATGTCCAAGAGGTACGCAGAGGCCTACAGGATTCTGAGTATGTCAGATGAGAGTGAAGGGAAGTCCTCATTGACAGAATCAGGCTCAGAATATGAACCTGTAGAGGGCAGCGGCACCCCAAAAGTTAGCTCAGACAATGGAAAAGAGATCTCTGCTAAGGTCAGAAGCACCTGACCCAGTGGCCAGGTTACTGAGGTACTAGAACTGCACGATGATTCTCATATGCAGTAGAATACCAATACTAGTGCCACACTAACTTTTAGTGAACTGGTGAGCACCAGCGGCCTAGTACATTCTGGTCTTTTACACACCAGCACTGCAGTATCACTTGGTGACATGGTGTAAGTGCAGTACAAGCTGGTGAGGTGACTAGCACAAGTAGCATCCTGCAGCCACCAAGAACTGGTACCAAAAAGTGTCTAGTTTTTTCAATTGGCTCTGTACTTTGTGCTTTACAAAACAACTGGATCCTTCCAAAAAGAGATCATCACAGCCCTTTTGTATCCAGAAGGTGCTGCGGCCCAAACCCCTAACCCAGATGCAATGAGCTTGCTGCATTCCTGATGCCATTCCTGGTACCCCAACCCAAACGTTTGTTGCAGTTGCATGGGCACGCGCAATTTTAAAGCATCAGCAAACACTGATATCTATTTACTTGGCGTAACATAATCTTTTATATTTTTCCAAACAATTTGGCAATATATTGTGTTTTTGTACACTAAAATTAAAAAAAAATATTTTTTACAAAAAATTTGCTTTTGAAAAACTGCTGTGCAAATACTGTGCGACATAAACAATTGCAACATGCACCATTTTATTCTCTAGGGCCTTTGCTTTAAAAAGAAATAAATATACAGTATATGTGCAGTTACAAACCAAAATACATTCTGCTACTTTTCCCAAGTATGGAGATACCACATGTGAGAGACTCAGTCTAGCCACGTACAAGACCCCAAAATTCAATAAGCACCTTCAGGCTTTTAAAGGGCATTATTTCCTCATTACACTTCCTGACTACCTAACACAGTTTTGGAGGCTCTGAAATGCCAGAATAGTACATGACCAAATAACCTCTTTTGGTTGTGGAAAATGTCAAGTGGTATGAATACTTTTTTAAGGCACTGTACATTTTGCGTTTATTGGATATTTTTATTCTAAATTTTCGGTCTTTTTATTTGGTTATATCGTAAAAAATAAAAAACCCAGTGGTGAATAAATACCACCAAAAGAAAGCACTATTTGTGTGAAAAAAGGATATAAATTTTGTTTGGGTACAGCATTGCGTGACCGCACAATTACCAGTTAAAGTATCGCAGTGCCTAATAGCATAAAATGCCCTTGTCAGGAAAGGGGTAAAAACCTTCTGGAGATCAAGTGGTAATTAACTCTAAAAACTAGCAGTAGATTCTAATTGATCATCCTCCATAAGCTAATTGCAGGAACTGACAAAACATTGGGTCTATATTCCATTTTTAGAAGGGTATATGGTACTGAAGCACTTTAATATACTAGATAAAATCCTTATTTCCTAAATATATGTTTATATCTAACTACATCTGAACTTCTTCCAGTGTCCCAGGTGTTTTTGGAATCTTAATGTGTATTCACAGTGGGCATGGTTGATTGGAAGAGTGCTTAAGTACTATTGTCTGCATTCATCCCGTGCTTTAAGCCCCGTACACGCGACGAGAATATCGGACGAACGATCATCCGTTTTTTTTTTTCCGCCTGCTAGTCTCACACATCGAAAGTGAAAAGGTTACTAAAGATATGAAAATTCTCCTACAAAAAAAAAAAGAATTTTGAAAGTGATGTCATGTATTGTATTTGTATTGTATTTTCAGACAACTACTGTACTGATTAAATGAAAATCGTACGATTTGGTATCGTACGAGAAAAATTTTTGTTTGCGCTTGTCCCTTCAGATATTGTCGTACTAATTGTCATGATTGGCTCCCGAAAGCTGTGTACTAACGATCTGATTATCGGACGATCGGTCCTTCATTTTTCATACAATTTTCATACAATTTTCTTATAGTGTGTACGGGGCATTAAGGAAGCAATCCTGGGCATGCTTACATCATCACCTCTAGCACAGAATTCTGGAATGCTTTGCACTCACACTGAAGCAAAAAGTACTGGATTTCAAGTGAACCATGGCTAGGACCACCTTTTCCAAGCACTCCTGGGCATGGTACACTTAACCATGCCAGGGCACACTCTGCACAAATCAACAGGATTAGGGGGGGGTGAACCGTGCCGTGAGTTAGGATACACACAGTACCCTAAGCAATGACAATTCCTCTCTATGTTGTAAGCCTGAACCTTGCTATCTAAGCTGCAGTTTTAACACAAGGTTCCACCTCAGCCCAGAATCTGATTGGTTGGCCACATTCACGCTTTTAGACCTTCAGCATTTGATAAAATGGTCTGGAATTAAATGCTCTGCTGACTAGTGTAGCTTACTACAGTTTTGCTCTGTTGTCTGTGGTGTGTTATAAGATGTGGTGTTCAGGTTTGTATTAAGCTGACATTTTGCCATCTTGCTGAATTAGTACATATGTGAAAATGTTGCTGTTTCCTTTAACATTCAAAAGACGACAGTATTGCTAGTTGCTCCCTGTTCTGTGCAGGCAATCAATGCCTGCTTTTGAAGCTGGGAGAGTTCCTATAAGTTAAAAGCAGTCTGGGGTCCAAAGTACACTTACCCACCACCTTCTAGTTTCCTTTTCTCATCATTGGCTAGATTGATTTTCAGATGTGCTGAAGAAGCCCAGAACTTGAATGAGCCACCAAATCAGCAATTTTATTTATATTGAATGGCTTGTATAGCCATACCATATTGTAAAGCTCCAAGGAGGCCCTCAAACCCCTCGTGTATTTTATTGTATTGTTATTTTACTGTCTCATGTATTGTCTCCCATTGTAATGTACAGCGCTGAGCGAACTGTTGGTGCATTATAAATATTGTATAATAATATAATAATATTGTACCTTTTTGATATGCTAATGTTTACCCTCTCCGGTTTTGCCACTATAGCCCTTAGTTGGACACTCAAACCATGTTTTCCAGTCATTTTTGCTTTTGCCCTCATTGAGTGAAGAGGTCCCTTTCTAGAAGGCTCTTTTCCAGCTGCAAGAATAACTCAAATAACATCCTTTTTAACCTGCCATTGGATTCCACTTTTGAGTCTTCTTTGCGACATGACAGTCGTTGTGGATTTTGTCAAGTCAGCAAGCTGCAATACTGTCTGCTCAGACAGAGTCTCAGGAGATATGTACAGTGCCTTGAAAAAGTATTCATGTCCCTTTTTTTAAATTTGCCACATTTTGTCATGTTACAACCAAAAACGTAAATGTGTTTTATTGGGATTTTATGTGATAGACCAACACAAAGTGGAAGGAAAATGATAAATGGTTTTCAACATTTTTTACACAAAAATATCTGAAAAGAGTGGCATGCATTTGTATTCAACTCCCCGGAGTCAATACTTTGCAGAACCACCTTTCGCAGAAATTACAGCTGCAAGTCTTTTTGGGTAAATCTCTACCAGATTTGCACATCTAGAGAGGGACATTTTTGCCCATTCTTCTTTGCAAAATAACTCAAGCTCTGTCAGATAGGATGGAGAGTGTCTGAACAGTAATTTTCAAGTCTTGCCACAGATTCTCAATTGGATTTAGTTCTGGACTTTGACTGGGTCATTCTTACACAAGAATAAGCTTGGTATGAATACTTTTTTCAAGGGTATGTATTTTGCATAAAGTGATAGGTGATATGGGGTATAAATACTTAAGGCACTGTATTTTGCATAAAGTGATCTTTGAAACCTAACATAGCTGTGTTTTGAGGTTTCTGTCACAAAGGGTGCTACAAAGGGTGTGGTCCTTTTACCTAATCCACTGGGCTCTTCCATGCATGCATTTCATGTGTCATGCATATTTATAAAACATACATGCAAAAAATATTTTAAAAGTGATCCCAAACCTCTTGTAGTTTCCATTTAAACCATTTACTGAACCGTACACAAAATTATTTGCTGAGCATCTATGCTCATGGAAAAGATCTTTCAGAAATCAGATTATGCAGCTTTGTATCAATTAACACATTATTAAATTTATTATAGGTATATAGCGCCGTAAATTTTACGCAGCGCTTTATGTGTGTGTATGTATTTCTGTGTGTGTGTATGTATGTATGTATGCGTGTGTGTGTGTGTGTATATATGTATATGTATATATATGTATGTATATATATATATATATATATATATATAATTTTTTATTTTTTTTTGTACAGTCACATTAAATGTATCTGTTTAAATGCATCCTTTTGGTATCAGTCTGTTACAATCTTTTATCCAGCAGCATTCACCCCTGGTTCAGATATATACGGCCGTGCACTTCTTTGGAAACCACAGCCCGCACGGTAACCTCGGTTCCCAGTGGGGT